TGCTATGAAAAAAAAATAAAAAAAAAAATAATAATTACAAAAAATCCTCCCGGCCGATCTTCACCAAAGACTAATCAACGTAATTCCGAATCAATATCTTTCTAACAGTTTAAAAAAAATTGCATTGATTCAAAATTGTGGGTTAAAACGAGGACGAACACTTTTACACTTTTCTGCTAATTACAAAGAAACGGCTTGGTCGATCGTCGCACAAAACAACAAAGGCTAGTCCTTATCGAGCTTGAAATCTAGTCGTTTTGAGAAAATGTCAACGAAAGATCAAAAATAAACTCACATATACAGATATTCAGGATGTTAAAAAAAATCAATAAAAATATATATTCAACAACATTTTATAATATATTTTGTATATCACTTCTCTATTTATATTTATTATTTATTATTTTTAGTTAATTTAGTAGTATTTTTACAATCTATTCAAGTGATTTCAAATCTGATATTGGCTTGTAATGAATAATTGAAATTCGTCTCATCTCAGCATAACCGATAATGATTTAAAACGTAGAGTGCAAAAATCATGAGTAAAGATTAATACTTAGTAGCAGTTGATTCGTCAATGATTAATTGTTGCAAAATGTTAATATGCATCGGACAATATTAAAAACAAATAAAGGATCCGCCATATAACTTTTTTTTATTGGTAGCAATTTAGAATTTTTGACAGCCATTAAAAAGTTAGACAGCCATTTCAATGAAATTATTTTCGATTATTAACCAGAAGTATAGCACTTTCAAACAGAAAAGATTTAAATTGAGAAAATATTCAGTAGTTTATATATAGCATTTTCAAAAAAAAAAGTTATCTGACGGACCCTTTAAGTTTAATATGCTCTAAAATTGTTTATTATCCTCGCTTAAAGAAAATTCATCTTTTCCGTTGCTAATATATAAAATATTACTACATTCGATTCCGAATGTATAGAGATGTACTTACACATCGATTGCTACAATTTATATTATAGAAACACACATGCAAATGTAAAACAACTACGTTCGGAATTTATTATTATTGCAGTGCTTTTTGCATGCGCCATAATGCGTACAAACAAACGTGCATGCATGCATGCTTGTATAAAGTTAATCAATGACGTACATAAATAGCTAATTAGTTCTATATTTCCAAATGCAGGTAAGAAGAATTTGTTTGACGCTGGTAGGGGAATTGCAGCAAGTAAACAAAAGCAAAAATACCGATCTCTAGTTGTTAATATTTTTTGTAATTAGCTCTAATTTTTGTATACAATACTGGTTTTAAACAGGACTGTTCTAGACTATTTTACGGACACAATGTACTAAACGTTATTAGTTTCACCCTCTCTTTCCTTGAAACATTTCCATTTCATACGCTGATGAAAATGACAATAACAATTGTAAGATAAGCTTCGCTAAAAATTCTTATTTAGCAATATTGTTATCTCACTTTATTTTATTTTTTTTTATATTTCTTGTATTGCTTTGATATTGATTTTTATAATCAATAAGTATAAAATATTTTCTTAATTCAAATTGTATTTTTTAAATTTTCAAGAAAAAATATCAAGGTTTAACGATTCTGCTGTTCAATTTTGGAATTGTCGATTCACCACCATAGCCACAAGTTCGTAAAATTCTGCGAATTTGGCAAATAGTCTCAACACATATATTTGGTGGAAAAATAAACATATTTTCTCAAGAATATACACACTCACAATCAGTCTATATCTGTATAATGGGCATCAACTAGATCCATCATTCCACCAATACATTTCCGCCAGAATGTGTGTGGGCCTATACATATGAGATCGCGCAAAGTACGAATCCCAAGGCCATGCCTGCACACACCCAATCGGATATTAGACAAATGCGATTACGATTAGAAGTATGTATACATTTAACTTAAATATATACACATGTAGGTACTGCAATATGTATTTTAGTAGTAGTTTGTATCTTATACGTGAGACACATGTATAGAGAAAGGTCTTGATAACTAATGACTGGGATGACTGCCGCTCTTCTCTATTTATTTATTTTATTTGAAATTTTTAACTGGTTTCATCAATTTATTGCAAATTAGTTTTATTTGCGATCTTAGTTAGTCACATTTTGACAGATGCAATTACACTATGTTTTAATTTTATTAAATACTCAATTACCATATGTCCAGGTTTGGCCGGGACAGTTCCGAATTTCTACCTCGTGTTCCGGGTTTTCCTAATAGCAATATTTGCCCCGGATTTAGATGTTTGGCACCGGTTTTTTGAAAATTAATAGGTGATTTGACAAAAATTATGAAAACAAACGAACAAGTGCTGCTTTTTTTAAATTAATTTGCGAAGATAATTGAATAGAATTTTATACAAGGCTCAGAAGCGAAAAAGCATATGAGTGGAAGAATATAAGATATAATATCATAGATAAAAAAGTATTACATTTAATAGAGTAATAAAGTTTGCAATTCTGATTAACAAAAATAATTCATATAAAAAGTTTTCTATAAATTCATCTAAATTCATATAAAAGGTTTTCTAATAGCAATATTTGGCCCGGATTTAGATCTTTTGCACCGGTTTTTTGAAAATTAATAGGTGATTTGACAAAAATTATGAAAACAAACGAACAAGTGCTGCTTTTTTTAAATTAATTTGCGAAGATAATTGAATAGAATTTTATACAAGGCTCAAAAGCGAAAAAGCATATAGGTCGAAGAATATAAGATATAATATCATAGATAAAAAAGTATTACATTTAATCGAGTAATAAAGTTTGCAATTCTGATTAACAAAAATAATTCATATAAAAAGTTTACTATAAATTCATCTAAATTCATATAAAAGGTTTTCTAATAGCAATATTTGGCCCGGATTTAAATTTTTTGTCTCGATTTTTTGAAAATTAATAGGTAAATTGACAAAAATTATGAAAACAAACGAACAAATACTATTTTTTTAAAATTAATTTGCAAAGATAATTGAATAGAATTTTATACAAGGCTCAAAAGCGAAAAAGCATATGAGTGGAAGAATATAAGATATAATATCATAGATAAAAAAGTATTACATTTAATAGAGTAATAAAGTTTGCAATTCTGATTAACAAAAATAATTCATATAAAAAGTTTTCTATAAATTCATCTAAATTCATATAATAGGTTTTCTAATAGCAATATTTGGCCCGGATTTAGATCTTTTGCACCGGTTTTTTGAAAATTAATAGGTGATTTGACAAAAATTATGAAAACAAACGAACAAGTGCTGCTTTTTTTAAATTAATTTGCGAAGATAATTGAATAGAATTTTATACAAGGCTCAAAAGCGAAAAAGCATATAGGTCGAAGAATATAAGATATAATATCATAGATAAAAAAGTATTACATATAATCGAGTAATAAAGTTTGCAATTCTGATTAACAAAAATAATTCATATAAAAAGTTTTACTATAAATTCATCTAAATTCATATAAAAGGTTTTCTAATAGCAATATTTGGCCCGGATTTAAATTTTTGTCTCGATTTTTTGAAAATAATAGGTAAATTGACAAAAATTATGAAAACAAACGAACAAATACTATTTTTTTAAAATTAATTTGCAAAGATAATTGAATAGAATTTTATACAAGGCTCAAAAGCGAAAAAGCATATGAGTGGAAGAATATAAGATATAATATCATAGATAAAAAAGTATTACATTTAATAGAGTAATAAAGTTTGCAATTCTGATTAACAAAAATAATTCATATAAAAAGTTTTCTATAAATTCATCTAAATTCATATAATAGGTTTTCTAATAGCAATATTTGGCCCGGATTTAGATCTTTTGCACCGGTTTTTTGAAAATTAATAGGTGAATTGACAAAAATTATGAAAACAAACGAACAAGTGCTGCTTTTTTTAAATTAATTTGCGAAGATAATTGAATAGAATTTTATACAAGGCTCAAAAGCGAAAAAGCATATGGTCGAAGAATATAAGATATAATATCATAGATAAAAAAGTATTACATATAATCGAGTAATAAAGTTTGCAATTCTGATTAACAAAAATAATTCATATAAAAAGTTTTCTATAAATTCATCTAAATTCATATAAAAGGTTTTCTAATAGCAATATTTGGCCCGGATTTAGATCTTTTGCACCGGTTTTTTGAAAATTAATAGGTGAATTGACAAAAATTATGAAAACAAACGAACAAGTGCTGCTTTTTTTAAATAATTTGCGAAGATAATTGAATAGAATTTTATACAAGGCTCAAAAGCTAAAAAGCATATAGGTCGAAGAATTTAAGATATAATATCATAGGTAAAAAAGTATTACATGTAATCGAGTAATAAAGTTCGCAAATCTGATTAACAAAAATAATTCATGTAAAAAGCTGTTTTTTTATTTTATAACTAAAAATTGCCGCCCCGGTTTTGATTTAAAGAAAATATGGTATTTTTACTATTGATCGCCGTATTTTTAATTTGACAAGTGAATTAATTGATTTATTGTAGAGCTCTTCAGCTCTTCCTTTACTTTTTAATTCGTAGACAATTTAATGAAACGTATTCCCAAAAATCTTGTCGAATCGTCATTACGCAACCGTGGCAATGACCGCTGTTAACCTATTTGAACGTTGTTGTCGGTGAAATAAATATTCGTATTTATAATATAGCATAACTATTCTTTACTATGACCACAATATACTAGCAGTAGTTCATTGTATGAATCGAATAGTAACATCAATTTACAAATCGAATTAATTCAGTATTGTAAAAAGGAAGGGTTGGCTTACAATGCGGCCATTGGATGTTACATCAAAGTCCCTTTTATTAAAGCGGCGAACGACCGGCAAAGTTAGACGTCCGTTCCACTCCGTGGATCCCATTGGAAACTGGGTGTAATAATATTTTGAGAACGTATGTGTTGGTGCGCTCAACTAAAAAGTAGGGTTAGTAAGAACCCCGGGCCCCGGTCGCTCTGCCCCGGTCGCTTTGAGTGTGAGTTCTCATTTGGAGCCCGCTCGCGTCGTACGTCACACCGTAATAGACTGGTGCTCATCCACTGCCTGCATACGTATACGTACACAAAAATCAACGAGAATTCCATTTGTACAAGGATTAAAAATTGTTTTGTTTAAACTAACAGTGAGATTGTGAAGTGATTTTATTATTTATTAGTGATTATTTACATGACATTTCGTATCAGTTTTTGTGTTATGATTTTTAAAAAAAGTTCACCATCATGGATCGTCCGGGTTGTTCTAAATTTAACTACGAAGTGATGTGTTGATCGGATTTATCATTTTTACTACAGAGGTGAGTAGCTAACATAATATTATTACAAATTTTATTATTTTTATCATTATTTTATTATTATTATTTTCGTGAAACATTTTAAGAATCTTTCAAACGAGCCGACGCAGCTCCTTTATTTCACTTCGATATCTTCACAACTTGGCGATCGTAAACGTTCGACCGTTTCCGTTTATTCTCGTGGGGATACTTTCATTCTATTCGTATCATTCCGCTAGTAAAGGGCGATTAACCCCGATGTAGTGTAGTGTGTGGTGAAGAGAATCCAACAAGAAAAATATTGCTGACATGGCGTCCTAAAAGTGTTGTGTGGAAATTTGTAGATTTCTTTAAATATTTAGTATAAAATGTTTTAGGTAATCAAAAATATTTATTTTTTGTTAACAGTGCTTTTGTGAAAACATATTTGGGTGTATTCGTAAAGTGTCATGAAGTTTTTGGTTAGAAATTTCAAAGTATTCATCCAGGGTCACCAATTAAAATTTAAACTAATTCTAAGTTGTCTGTTCACCTAAATTATTTGTTTACAAACATTTAAAATGTTGTTGGGTTCTATATTTAGTGATATTTTAATATACGCATTTAATAAAAGGCGTGTTTGTGCTAAATCATAGTTCGATCCGTTGTAAAAATAGGGTTGCGTAAATCTAGTTTTGCGGATTTGTTAGTCATTCTGGGTAGGCGGGGTGACGATAAGGCAAATTACAAAATGGCGACGCAAGGGCTGTGTCTAGTTAGTTTTTAAAGGGTTGTTTGAAAGTTCTGTTAACATACGTATTAATAATTATTATATTTATTTACTTTAATAATTTTGAATCATTTAGTGTAATTTTCAAATGATGTAATAATACGTGAGTACAAATATCGATTAGTGCGCAGGTACTTGGCACCTGTAAGATTCCAATAAGAATCTCAATTGTATCCTGAACGGCGTATTTCTTATAAGATCATCATATGTTGGAATCTTATTAGATTGTATAATGTACATTGGAAAATCATCAGATTTTTTATTACAAATATCAGGATAAAATTTAATAAAATGATGATTTAACCTCAATTTTGGGTGTTAATTTTTTGTACGCAGTGTATACAAAATAGCACTCATTAATTTGTTCGGGGATCTGTAACTTAATAATTTCAAAACGCGTGATTGCTTTGAATGATATACCAGAAATGAAATAAATGCAATAAAATTTCAAGACATATTTTTTTGAATAAGTTTACATAAATCTACAATTACTGTTTGCAAAACGAATTAATATTTTCATTATTTACAGGGCGTAATTGAAATCTAGTTCTACATTATCAAACACCACTACATAAATGTTATATGACTTAAAACAATCATCTTACATCAGTAGTAAACCAGTAAAAATGTCATCCCAAAGATTTTGTTTACGATGGAACAATCATCAATCGAATTTACTATCAGTATTCGATCAGCTACTTCACGCAGAGACCTTTACCGATGTAACTTTAGCAGTAGAAGGGCAGCTATTGAAAGCTCATAAAATGGTATTATCTGCTTGTAGTCCTTATTTTCAAGCACTATTTCTAAACCATCCTGAAAAGCATCCAATTGTGATATTGAAAGATGTGCCCTATGCAGATATGAAATGTTTGTTAGATTTTATGTACCGTGGTGAAGTATCTGTAGATCAAGATAGATTAACAGCATTTCTGAGAGTTGCTGAGAGCTTAAGAATTAAAGGTTTGACAGAGGTCAATGAGGAAAAATGTGATATTCCAGCCATAACTAATAGCCTACTCCAGCAGCAAACTATGACCACTCCCCCGCAGTTGCATAGGATACACCCTTATTTAGCACAAAGGCCAAAGCAACATAATGCAGCGCATAATATTCTAATGAATCCATTGTTGGGAAATGCATTGATGCAACCGAAAAGAAAGCGAGGTCGACCAAGGAAATTATCTGGAAGTTCTAACGGAATTCCCGGTGTCACTAATAATCAAGATGATTACGATAGATTAGGAGGTCTTGGAGATAGATTGATACAGGGATCACCAGAAATGTTGGAAGTTAAAATGGGTAAGCAGAATTAAATTATTTTTTCTAGAATTATATAAAGATAAACTTGTAATTTGATAATTATTAGGTAAGTTAAATGCAATTCGATTAATAATTAATAACATTTTTTTATTGAATAACCATGAATATTAATATTATTGAACTTCTATTTTTTGTGCAATGGAACAAAGTACAGTAAATTTCAAAGGTCTCTTATTACGAATGAGTATGTCTTTAATAATTTTGTATTTGATAATTTTATAAAGTTAATATGAGAGAATTTATTATAAAAACAGATAATTTTTTTTATTGTTATGCTTATATTTTTCTAAATAGTTGGTTCCTAAACCTTTATTTTCAATCCATTTACTTTGTATTATACATGTATTATACTTCCCTGTTTGATCGGTTGCACTATTTCAGGGAACTTTTGAATTAGAGTTTTCTCATTGTTAAAGTGAGAAAAATATGTCTTTATAATATGTATTCACATTTTAATTTTTATGGTCAATAAGATTAAATTTTGTATTATTGTAGGTATGGATAATTTCCAAACAAGTGGTGGATCTGGTAACGAAGCTTCAAATGATGAAAACTCAATGCGAATGGATGATGAGGAAATGACGGATAAAGAAGTTAGTGAAAATACAGAACCTATGGCTGGCACATCAAAGGAAAATACCCCGAAAAAAGGAAAAGAAGATAGCAATGGTGAGTTCTTTTATTTTTTGCTTATTCAAGTATTGCATTAAGCAATACTAATATAACAAAAGAATATTTTTTTTTTTAAATTCAAGTAGTAAAAATATAATTATTCTATAAATATTTCGCAAGTGATAAACAATTTTTAAAACTTCGAAATTATTGAAGTATTTAGAAAATATTAGAAGCAAAATTCTTTTAATGCTTGTATTTATCCATGATAAAATAATATTCATGATAAACTTAATCAAATTTTTGCTTATATAGGGATCACAATAACTATATACTTTTGTTCAAAATAGTGAAGTTTATTTTTTAATTTATTTGCATATCACTCAACAATATTTAAATAACATAGTATTATATTTAATGTATTATAAAGAATATTACGATATATACATATGAATTCAAATCAAATAGAAGTTTTAATTAAATGAGTTGTAATATAATTTATTAATTATTTATATTTGCATAGACAAGTGAGCCATACTTCCAATCACAGTTCATTTATATTATTACTTCAAAAGTGTATCGATATCATGTAATTTTTAAAAATTATTTTGTATATGAGTATACACTCATATTTTATATGAAATTATCAGGAATATATATATATATATATATATATATATATATATATATATATTATGCAATATATATAAACATGTATTGTTTAAGAAAAATTTAATATTATTTAATAAGGGAAAAGCTAATAAGGGATTGTTTTATTAAAGTGTTATCAATTTTAAAATCAGTGTTGTAGTGTAGTGTTAGATTTCATTTTTATTTGTGTTTTCAAGACATCCCTAGTAATAAATATGAGGTGAGTTTTTAAATGAGATATTTGAAATAGAAAAGGGAAGAGCGAATAGGGATTGAGCCATAATATTTGATTGAATTTAGAACTTTTCTGACTATATATGATGCAAAATGATTCTTAATTTTGATAAATTGGTAATTCGGCTTAAACCCCTTCAGCTTTTCCCTTATCAAATTATTGGTAATGACTTAGTTAACTTTGATGCAATTGATTTTAAAAGCATAATTCAAAATGTTAGCTAAGTCATTGCCAATATTTTGAATTGTATATTTTTACTAAATACATATGATATATTACAGATGTGGAAAATGGTATAAGACATTTCAAATTTGAAACTCCATATCAGCCAGAAATGAGTGTACTCTCTGATAAATCAAACAAATCATATTCAGCTAGCGGTGAAGAATGTGATGACATAATTGAATATAAATTTACACCCTTAGATGCAGACCTTAATAAAAAGAAAGAAACAATGACAGTGTTGAAAATTCAGAAATCAAACTCAAAAATCAACAATAGCAGCGATAATAATCAAAACAATTGTGATGCTACTGAAGAGGTTGAAGAACAAACGCAACAAGATAATTTATTTTATAACTTTAAGTACAATAATAATGTGACTGAAAATAATGAAGGCTCTGTAAGAGACTTTTGCCTTAAGGAAGGAGATAATGTATTCCGATGTAAGGTCTGCAGTCGAGTTTATACACATATTAGCAACTTTTGCAGGCATTATGTTACCTCTCATAAACGTAATGTTAAAGTGTATCCATGTCCTATTTGCATGAAAGAATTTACTAGAAAGGATAATATGGTTGCTCACATGAAAATAATACATAAGCATGTCGACGGAGTTGAAGCAATTAAAAAAGATTTAGTTTTACATGGAACATGTATAGAGAGACCACAAATATCTTGAATTTGAGATGTTAGATGAAATATTATGAAGACCTATACATGGTTAATGTGAAATTATTTATTTATTTAATATATTGATTAATCTTGTATGAAATTATTAAAGTGCCTTTTGCATATGCAATAGTATTTACCATATATAAACATATATATGATTATTAGGAACTATAAGTTCGTGTTATTGTTGAAATGGATTACTCCACTTTATGAAAGTTAAATATTAAATATCTTTCAAATTGTTTCAATAAAATTCAATTTAATGGCTACTTGATTAAGATTTTGACTCAGGAATTTACTTCAAATGAGTAATCTACTTTGAATATTTGTTTTTCTGTTGTACTTTGTTCTCTTGTTCAATTTTATATGTTATATTGTGTATTTTATGCAGCCTTCTAATGAAAAGTGAGTCTATGAAGTTTTGACAATATCCTAACTAAATTATTCAAATACAACCTCCTTGACATAAGATGAAACATTTCAATATGAATTGTTGTATTTGATCCAGCTGCCTTAATTCATCAGCCTACACAATAATTTTTATGAGTTTTTTGAAGATTAATCAATAGATTGTTGTTAATTATAAGCATATATGTAATATATGTTATATACCAATCAATTGTTATTTTTATATTATTTATATTCTACAGAATTCTTATAAAAATTAGATTTTAAATGTTAAACATATGTGCAATTAAAAAGGCCTTAAATCATACTATCTTGCCAAGCTGGCTTAAAATTGTTATTTTTTCTTTGAACGCTGTGTCAGTAAAGCTATGTTTTAATATGTGCATAATAGTTTAATATATATTTTTGAATTAAAAGAAAGTTTTCTATATAAGTGGTATTATGGCCTTATCTTAATATAATATAGATAACTATAGGTAAATCTTAGAAAAAATTATATAATATATATTAAATATTAAACTGCTAATATATTTTTCAATATTTATTAGAACAATTAAAACATTGATACATTCGAAGAATGTTTTAACTATGTTAAAATATTCATAGCTATAAGCTACTTATAAAAAGGCGTATATTATGTATATAAGTATATATATATATATATATATATATATATATATATACATACATGTCTTTTTATTAAAATAAATGCTATTGAAACAAATCAAATTTGTTATTGAGATCGTACATTTATTTCGTGAATTATTACAATAGAATTTGCATTGGTTGTTTGACATTAAATTAATATGTATTATCTGTTGTGAAATATTATTTCTAATAGATCGAAATTTGTTTTAATAATATTGGATATTTTAATTTTTTATCTAAAAATTAAATAGTCAAACTATCTGATTTTTCGATACGATTTTAATAGCATTATTGTTTTTATCATAGCAAATGGTGAAGTAATTTCTTAGTACCTGTGCTTAAATAGAATATATATAAGAGACATAGACGATACCATTTTGATTGATTTATATTACATTCATGATATAAATAGTGCCTCAGATGTCTCAATATTTACTGAAAAATGAAAGAAAAACGGTTGCTGCTTTCTTTAACATTAAAGTTTTGAAAACCTTGAACTATTATTTCATAGTTTTGAATATTAAACTGGAATTGTACGACGTTATTATAAGTGCTATGTTATTTAGTTACAATACCACATTAAAAATTTACTTTCGAAGAAAATTTCCATTCAGGAAAAATATAGGAAAATCAAATAATGCTGAATCCTAAATACTTTTTTTAATGCCAATAATATTAAATATACTACTAATAAACTAATTATATTATTTAAATTTAGTTTACATTTTTAGTTGAGCATCTATTATATTTAGACTGGACTTCTTACTTAATAATATAAATCAATCAAAATATATATTTTTGATAGAATTTCATCCTTTTTACATTATTATGCCGATGATAGTCTGCATCATTTAACAACTTTTTGAAATGTTAATAGAAAAATTGTAAGATGTTGCGCGTCAGTCACATGTAGTTGTATATGTTTCTATACATACAAAGAATGTAATACGAATGCATATTAATTTATTATTTATTTATATTTACTTACGAAATACTGTGAGCTATATATGTACTTGCTACCTATACCTAAATATAGTTAATTCATCTTGTGATACATGTGACCATTTGGCAGCATATTTATTAAAATAAAATATCTCAATTTATTATTAATAATATATAATTCTATGATTTAAGGAAAAAACGTCTGGTTAAATATTATCAAGAATAATCGTTATCACTAATAATAGTAAATCGACCTAAAGAGTATTTATATTTAATAAATTTATAATGTCAGTCTGGCTAGATTTGTTATCAAAAATATTATTTAAAATTTAAACAATGTATTTATTGTATACAATTAATAAGAATCTGTTACTAAAAATTAAAATAAAAATCTAATTGTTTTATGGTATATTAAGTAAAAAGGGTTTCTTATCGATATGAATTGGCTTTTGCTAAGTACTTCTGCCAGATTGTCAATTTTTTGTGCTGCATATTTTTCTAGCACCTTTTTCACCATTTTGTTTACATATGAAATCTAAACCATTATTATTGAATGTAGTTTTTTTAATAATTTTCCGATAACTGTTGCACAAATGGTCAACTTGAAATAGACTTATTCCACTTAAATATGTTGAACTTATGATAAAATGTTGCAATAATATCTATTAACAAAACTTATATTGCGTAATATTTATTTTTGTTAACAATCTAGTTAATTAAAGTTAATATATTATTCTATAAATTGTTTATGTATGTAAAATTTTTAAATTTACAAGCAACCCATTTGGATGATGCAAAGGTAATTTTCATCAAATTTGCCATTGAGTTGTTTTGAATGATAGTAAATTATTAGATATTTTATTTTATTTCAACTACTGTTAGGTTTAGATATTGTGAATGCATATATCACGCAAAGCGTTTGAATAGTTTTTATTTTATTAAGAAATATTTAAAACTACTAGTGTAGTTTTATTTTTATTTATGTAGTACTTTGGTGTTGTAATTTTATTTTAAATTTTTATTTCAAAAATATTATTTTATGATTTTAAAAATAAATATTTCAAAAACTTTTATTTTGTAATGTTTTTCTTTTTGTATCTAAATGTGTATTTTATTCGTGCTATTTATGAATATTCAATTGCTTGATGCTTATTTTATGTAAACAATTATATTTTACATAATGAGATCTTATTATATTTTGCGATGTTGATGTTATTTATATCACTCGATGTCGTTTTCGTTCATACGACACGATGTTAAAGTAAATTTTACAAATCAAAAAAAATCTTGTAGTATTTCTCAATTTTATTAAGATGAATTCTTTATGGCTGGCCTTAGCAACTTAGTACACAATTTTCTTTTTATAAAAATACAGAATTTTGCAAAATATTTAATTTCTTTAAAAAGCTTGAACTGACGAAAATGGTCGTCACGTTACTGTTCCGGATAATATCGTTTATCTATCAATCTATATGTTCATATATTGTTATTTATGTTTATCTATTTGTTTTCTATTATGGTTTATATGTTTTAGTTTATATATGTTTATATAATAAAATAAATACTGATTATAATTTATATATTTTACAGAAACACAATCGGCTGATTTATTGATACCCAAGTTGGAACCACTCGAAGCTCGTCCACTCGTCTCTGAAGCGAAAATTCGCGTAAATCCTCTGACGCAGACAGCGACAACGTCTAACAGTAACGCGCTAACATTTAATACTCAATCACCGCGCGGAAACAATCAGACGGATTCGTTAAACAATAATAATAGCAGTAATAACAATAACATTACGAATGCCGCGGCCGGAACGGTCACGACGCCTCAAACGGCTCAAAATGCACCTAAGAACTCTCGGCGCAGGGCCCGGAGACGTGCCAACAGCGCGTCGAATGACCCCGCGGAACAGTTAACGGAAATGTCTGTACGCGGACTGAACTTATTCCGCTACGCCAGTGTGAGCGAGGGTATCTACCAGTGCACAGAATGTGCGAAGGAAAACATTCAGAAGACATTCAAAAACAAATACTCTTTCCAAAGGCACGCCTTCTTTACCACGAAGGCACGCAGAGAAAAGTATTCCCATGCCCCGTATGCCAGAAAGAATTCTCAAGGCCGGACAAAATGAAGAACCATATGAAAACTACGCACGAGTGCTACATGCCCAAAGATTGCATGCCGATGGGCATGTTTTACCAAGCGCAAATGGAAAATATACAACAGAACGTCGAACAGCCGCCAATTGTTACTGCGGCTGAAGTGGTGGAGCCCAAAAATATTATGTTGCCACCCACTATAGCTGCTACAATAGATAACAGACCTTTCCAAGCATGAAAGATAGATTTATGAGCACGGTAAATTCCAGTTGCTCGTGTGCGTCAACTTTATTTAGTCTTGTTATATATAGAAAAATAAAATTTTGTTACATGATTTAATTGAACTTTTTGAGTGAGAGTATAAGCTATATTATTAGCTTACCATTTACATAATTATGAATATTCAAAGCTATGTGCAAAATGCAGTACTGAAAAGCAGCATGAGCTTTAAAACATTTCAGTATATAGCAGATTTCTTATAATGTGTGGCATATTTGAACCTGTGAAACATTGCACATAATCTTTCTTTTTGAATCCTGAAAGTATTTCAAAACTTCGTAACTAATAATTATTACGTAATAGAAAAAACTACTAAACACATGAACTTGTTAAATATTATATGAAACAAAAGATATATTATCAAATAATTAAGATATTGTCTAGATTAATAATTTTTTATTGCAAATAGATAATCAAGCTATGATTTGATTATCTATGCAATAATTTTTAAATTTTATATTATTTTATGTTATGTAAAGAAGTACATATATTTGACTCGATCATATATAAATGTTATATTTTAGATATATAGATTTATGTTTACACTTAAAAACATATATAAAAGGGCTTTCTATTATTAGAGAGAGATTATTTAAAAATATAGTTGACAGAGATGAACAAACTTTATTTTGTGATTATATAAAATTATATTATAATAAATCACATGGAAATATATATTCCAAATTGTGTAATCTTTCAAAAAGATTTATAATTTAAACCATTTTGAGTTTCAAACCAAATTTAGGATAATTTTATGGTTTACTTACTGCAAAGCAGTAGTGAAGATTTAAAATTAACTTAAATGAAGAGATGCAGGTCTTCCCCGAGAATAAATTAAATTAAAAATATACTTATCCAAGAAAGCCTTTTAAAATTCGTTGTATATATAAATATAAATATATAAATAACCAGTGCCTTAATTTAATATGTAATAAAGACACCTGCTTTATTTTCATATATAAACGCAATACATGCTACATACAAAACTTGTTAAATAGATAAAGATATATTCTTATAATGTATAGTTTATTTTAGATTAAGTGTGTTAATAATTTTGTAATTAATATAATCTATAACAGAAATAATGCAGTGGTAGGCAAAAACGGGGATTATAAATAAAAAATGAAATATTGGAAATTTAGAATATTTTTGCTTATATGAAATTTAGAATAATTTTTGCACAGTTGAATTGTAAACATTCACTTGAATATAAAAAACCTTATGGGGTGATGGGAAAAATAATTTGTCGTGCAAATTATTTTTGGGTCTTTTATGTTTTACAAAAAGGATTTATCGTTTTAAGTTTAAATAATGACAATTTTACAAATTAATCTAAACAAAAATGTAACAATATTGCTTTAATTAAATAATTCGTTTATTGTTATATTGAATCCACAAATATGAATTGTTGATTATTAGCATCGTTTATTTTTGTTGTAAATAACTTATGCAAAGCAGAGTTGATCTTATAAAACATCTAATACTTATTTTATTATACATAGTGTGATACTTGTTTTTATTTTAAATACATTACAAACTAAATGTAGTTCATCTATGATTTACATGAAAAAAAATTAGTTATTATTTGTTAGTGTTTAAGACATTTTACGCAATATGGTCAGTAAATAAATGCGCACACTAAAAATTATTATTAATATTTTTATAGGAACGAAAGTTTATAATTCTATACACTACATCGCTTTTGTGCAATTGAAATAATATTTTTCATTATATTGTATGAATTTTAGTATAGCAAAACATTTAAAATGGTTATAATGTTATAACAAGTGCAATTATTGTTAATAAATTGAGAAGAATATAGAGTCTTGTTTAAATATTTCAATAGCAAATGAGATATAGTTGATATTCATGTTTAATTCTCCTAAATAAAATGATTATTTATGTTTCGTATGAATAAAGAGCATTATATACGCATATTTTGTATATATGAAATAACAAAAATTATATATTTGTAAAGTGTGATTTCTATTTCAAATAAAATATATTCAAACACTTTTTTTAATATTTTTTATACTCTATTTTAATTCGACATTTTTGACTATGCCAATATTGTAATATGAGAATTCTCATATGATTATCATACTTTTGTTACAGAATTCCAATTGGAATCGTGTTGGCATAGCATTTATAGCAGAAAATTAATTGTAGAAAAATTCTGTATAATATTCTGTCAGTGTTCTGTTTGCAATAAATAATAAATAACAAATTTATTTATTATAGTATCTCAAATAATATAAAACTATTAATATAAAGAAATGCCGGTTTCAGATTTCTGCAAATTTTAATGACTTGTCATTTTTTAATCAATCATTTGTATAAAAAAAAATGTGCCAGGAAAATTACGTAGGTAATAACATTTCTTCTTTTTGTAGATTTGCAAAGCTTGGAGAACGATCAAAATCACAGCAATAGGAAACGTGACCGAAATTTTACAAATCTGGTTCTGAAGACTGATCACGAACATGAAAAAGAACTCAATTACCCAACTTCGGATCAAAATGGAAATGACGCCAATTTTATTCCAGCAACCACCGTAATTCTGGACAGCGATCAGGGCTTGCATTTTTTGACCGACGAAAGAAATAGAATGCTCAACATTTCTCCGGTTACCCAAGATGAAGACTTATCCAACGATCGTAGAGAAGATAATTGTTCGATGTTTGTGGCAAGAAGTAAGCATGAATTATTAGAATATATGATGAAGGAAGACGGTTCGGTCGTTTGCAAAATGTGTGGTGAAATTTTGGCTAGTAGGACTCATTGGTATCGACACAAGTACAAATTGCACGTGCCTAACTCTGTCCAGCCAGCCGCCTTATTCAAATGTGAGAAATGCTGCGTGTTTTTCAAATCACGGAAAGGTGAATAAGAAGAATAAAAATTATAATAATGATAATAAGATAAAATATCAAATTTAATGAAATATAATAGAATACTACTTGAATAACATCTTCTGTGATTTTGTTCTTTTTTATAGTGATTGTTTAATTGTGATTCAATTTGTTAATACAATTCACACTATTGAGAATAGTAATTAAATAGTAAGAATCTAGCTAATAATATTTATTAGCTAATTAAATAAAATTAGATTTTCAAAAATTTTATAAATTGGGAGTAATATCCTAATAAGTAACTTGTGTTTACTTGCATTGCGCCATTATTTTCTCCAACAATATTTTTAATTAAGATAGTGTTTTCTACATATTTGTGCAAATTAGTTGATTTTTATAGTATTATTTGTTATTTATATATTTATTCATTATCAAACCGTAATCAATAATAATAAATAGTATTTCAAGATTTTATTATTCTTACATTTTGCACCTTATATCTTGAAATATTAAAAACTCTATTTTTCTTTCAGGTTACATTGGCCATCTCTCAAGCAGACACACAGCTGAAGATACCGAAGTCACAATTGAAGCAGAAAATGAAAAAAGCGATCATCTTGTTGAATTAATTGATCATGAACTGTCGATACCCAAAAATGAACTGGTGAAACCAGAAAGGAAATCTAGTAGATTAATCAGGCAAGTTTATGATGACATATTAAATAATAGATTATATATAATAAATTAAAAAATAATTAAATAATAAATAATAGAATAATTAAATAAATTTTTCAAGTCGATCATGTTTAATACAATTACACATTGAAATATATATTGCAGCTATTCCAAGATAAAATAATTTTGTACCTCTTTAAAATAATTTTATACCCTCTATAAAATAATTTTGTACCCTCCTTATATATGAAACCAATAGTTACAAAATGAAACAGGAATAATTATGAATAAAATAATAGTTAATTAAATACATAATTAAATTAAATATATCTGTATATTGCATTATCAACCTAAAAAGTTTGATTATCATTATCATTAGTGCTCTTAAAGCAAATTGCTGAAACTTCTCTGATATTAGAAAGGATTATCCTTTAGACTTTTGATTCAAAAATATTTTCTGTTATAATAATTTCGGTACTTTTATCATTAGTATTTATATATTGGAATAATTTTCATTTTTCCAGAGAATTATCTATAAACAAAGAAGAGCAGGAGACTGATTTCGAAAAGAAAAAGCGAGAAAAAGAAGAAAAGCTGGTGGCTGATATCATTGACCGAGTCCGGCGCGAGTGCGAAGCACAAGGAAGCACCGTCGCCCGGAAAGGTTACAACCGGAGACAAACTGTTCACATGGGTTCCTCGTAAATATTCTTTTATTAGACATACTGGTAACTTTTATTGGTAATGTATATATTTTTCATTTATAAATTATATTACTATTATTTATATAATTTATATAACTAATATTAAATTATATTTGAACTTCTTTCCAAAGCCAGAATTTATGAAAATGATTTATTAACCCTTATCGGTCGCTAGCTTTTCAATACGTGATTCCCGCTAGGTCGTAGTTGGTTTCGGTTAATATTCAAAATCTCTTTTAATAAAAAAGAAATGTATTAGATACTTTTTTTACATATATTACACTTATTTTCTTCGGAATTTTCTTAGTCACCTCCCGGTATTGGTGTCACGTCACAGGTGACTTACGACCGATAAGGGTTAATAATTTTTCTGATAAATTTTATATTCAAATTTTAATTGATATTTAATTATATTTATTTAAAATACTTACCAAACCAGAATTTTTAGTTAATATATGGGGTAAATATATTACTTTACTTTGATACATGAACATATATAATTAATTTGAATTCAATTAACGTAATTCAACATTTTTCTTGCCTTGTAAAATTTACTTGTTCTTCTAAAAAGTTTTGGTTTTTGTTTACGCATATTTAAATACGCCACTAAAAAATTTAGAAAAATGTATTTTTGTATCCCTAAATTTTAACTTTAAATATTCCTAATCAACTAATATTTTAGCATTTTAAACAATGAATAATAAGAGTAATATCTAAACTATTTGTATACAATTCAAATTCAATTAAAATTACAATAAGAAAAAAGTAAAATAATCTATATTCTCATGTGTTCTGTGTTCATTTTAAATTAATTTATATTTGTTCTACGAATCGTAATGTAACTGTATGTATATGCATGCTATGAAAATTTTGTGCCAAAATATCGAAAATTTTCTAAATAATAATATTATAATAATTCATAACTACAAAATGTTAATATATCGTTGGCAAAATAACATAGATAAATCAATCTACAAAAATATTTTTATAAGGCCGTAATAAATGAAAAATTAATTCATTGCAAGATGCAAACTTTTAATTCATTGCAAGATATAAACTTAATATAAATTTCTTGTGAAAGATTTTGAGTACTGAATGTTAAATT